GGTTGTTGAAGTTTTTAGTTTTCTTGTTGTGTTTTTTGTACTGTTGTTGTTTTGTTGTTATGTTAGTTGTTGTGTCGGTTGTTCTCTTGCATTTTGTGTTAATTTTGTCTATGTTCTAGCTTTATTTAGATCTTTTTTGAATATCTTTCTTCTATATTTTGTTAATTTTTGTAATTTTAGATGATCATCAGAAAGAGTTCTACATAGAGCACATTATGCACATAATTCATTGTATATATATATTCAAATTTATCTATATAAATTTAATTATATAAAAAACTATATACTGTAGTGCACAAATTTTTACAATTATTCACATAAATTATGTGTGCAAATTCACATAATTTTTGGTTCAAATTTTATACACAGTTAGAGATTAGTGTATTCAAAAAAAATCAAATTTCAGTGTGAAAATCATGCATGTTTCAAAAAAATCAGTCATAACTCAAAATTTTGCCTATTCTATTCATTATTCCAGTTTGACGTTCAATATACATTTCATCATCACTTATTTGACTAGATTTTGAACATCATCTGGCTTTTTTCATTTGGGGTCGATTAAAGGTTAAAAATGAAAGCAATAGGTTTCATTTAAAATCAAGAAATTTTTGTCTGCATCTTTCGGTGATATATATATAGATGGTAAAAAAATAACCATAAATAAAATATAAACAAAACACAAGAAATCATCAAAACTTGTAAATTTGATAAGAAAACTAGGTTTTAGTCATTAAGTTTCCAGCATAAAAATTTAGGTGTATCGATATTGTTTCTATGTTGGATTAATGTATACATTAAGTAATAAATCGCAGCAGAAGGGTATAAATTTCATAGTAAAAATTACACTTCCTATTGTGAGAATACCGAAAATTTCCGATAATAATATAGAAAATAGTTAAAAAGAGAAAAGCATCAATAACTCACGATCTAGGATCTCTCGCAGTATAGGTGACAATATTAATAAAATGTATTATTAATCAATTGATTTAGAATAGGTGCCACCTATATTATAACAATTTTAACATGGTTTATAACATCTCGTAGAAATCAAAGAGCTCCACAGGTCCAAAGCATGTATATAGGGTACCCGATAGCTAACTATTGGCGAATCTATATTGGCAATCATCAAAACATAAGTAAAAATAAATATCGGGTATCCCGATATTTATTATACTTCTGACATATTACAAATATCGATATAGATCAGATTTTTGGCGTCAATAGTTAGCTTCGGATACCCTATATACATGCTTTGGACCTGTGAGAACTTTTCATTATAAGCTAGCTGCATTTCAACGTTATAAAAAGACTAAAATAATTGCCAACGACTTTTACTATAAAACTTGCTATATATTTTTTATACCTTTAGCCGTGATTTACCTCTTAACGTTAAATGTTCACAATAACACCGAGGATCAACACTGTCAGCCACAAGGCCAAAAATTTTTGCGCATATCGATATTGCACTCTTTCCTGCTCAGAGATAATCTTCATCTAAATAAATGATATATTATATAAATATTTATCAAATTATTCATCAAGATTATTTTTTTCTATAATTTTTTACAAATAGCGATTGGGTTTAAGATTATGTCCGCAAGTATAGAATCAACGCCTTTTTGTGATTAAGCTTTCTGAAAGAATGCCCATTATTGGTGAATTTAAAAAGTGGTTGATCATTTCGAGAGCATAATAATTCCAAGCTGTTCACGAGATTTTCTCGATGGCAAAAAGCCCAGAATGTTCTAGTTTATATAATGATCTACATATGACATAACGATAACTTGAAACTGTCAATTCAAACTGTAGTCTAATACGTCATTTAAATGATATCATATCTTAAACGGTGGTACGCACTTTAAAGTTGATAAACTCATATAATAATAGCAATTGTTTGCCAGTAAGTATACTCACAAGTCAACTACAAATTCAATTTTTAAATCAACACTTAATTTCTCATCTCCAAATTCATCTCAAACTCATTTCAAATTCATCTCAAATCCTTTTTACCAAATCTCACTTAAAATACTCTTGCACCCCATTATCTAAATGTCCATCAACAATGATACAACTTGCAAGGAACAATATGTATCATTTTCAATGCAAAATACTGAGCACCTAGCAGATAGGCCTAAGGTTCTAAGACGTCGAAAGACGCCTTATGTTTGGGGTGACAAATTGAATCCTGCTTTTGACGACGATGATGAAGGATGGCAAGACATTAATGGCTCAAGCAGCGACAATAACAGCAAAGATAAGATTGATGAAAGCTGTGGGAATATGGGTAGAAAAAATATGGGAGAGAGAGGCGACAATGAAATGGATGAAAATTTTAAAAATGGAGGAAATTTAAGGATGAAGAAATAGATAGCGATAGCATTTAACGATTGTTGGTTTTTTTTTTTTTTTTTTTTTTTGGTATTTGAGGTGAACGATTGTTGGTTTTGAAATTTAGCAGACCGGCTTTTTATTATTTTCTTTATATATCTTATTATCAATTTCCAGAACTGGAATGAATATGCAGTAAAATCGCTGATTGTGTATATATGGATGTGCTCATTTTACATGTATATTAAAATTATTGCAATTATATAGTAACAATGTGAATAAATAATTTTTCGTTTTTATTATCACGAGAAATATTCTTGACTGGGATGAATTCTAAAAATTTCCTGCTTTTATTAGACATGAAGAATTCATGATGCATTTTCACTTTCTAATAGATTCGATGAACTTGTACAATTTGGATTAATCCGTAGAAATACCTACGTACGTACGCACATAACCGATTTTGTCTTAAAGTATTATAATTCGTACGTACGTACGTACGTACGTACGTAGAAAGAAATTGATGTTAACATGTTACACGAGCCCTTGTGATAAGCTTTTTAAGACAAAACTACATAAAACTTTGAACAAAGATTACGGGATTAATAATGATAATGGTAACACCACTAAATTTCTTAATCAAACACGAGATAAAGATAAATACGTCCGTACGTACGCACCAATTCTCTTTTGATGATCTTTCCCATTTTATATTAATTTATATGAATGGATAAAAAAAATTATTCGCATTAATTAAATTTTACAACAAACTAACAGACTTCAATTTGTAGACAATGGACTTATCTAGTCACTTTCAAACATCATCACAACCATCGCTAATCTCATTTTCAAATTCTCCAAAACTTCATTTGCTCATTCCAATACTTCCAATACTAACAATCTTTGGTCCTGGATTTCAATCTATATCAACCTTTACATTTTTATGGCTCATACTATCAATATTTTACATACGCAATATATCAAAATGGTGGTTTTTCTTAATTTATTACGTTCTCAACAGTGTAGGATTTATGTTTGCTTATTTGAACATGTTGGGATATGTCGATTTGAAAGGCTATCCTGGAATTATATTCTCTATTGGTTTATTAGTGACTCTGATTATGTTTATAAGTTTAATTCTGGACAAGATTTCTCAGAATATGTTTAGTGTTGTGGGGTGGGCAAGAATTTTAACTTTTCCTTGTGTTTGGACCGGTAATTCATTACTTTAAGATTATTGTAAATTTCCATCTTCATTAAGAATTAGAATTATTCCTTTAACTATTAGGATAATATTTGATCCGATTAGTTATTAATCCGGTTTATTTTTTTGTATTTGGAAAAAAACCTTAGGACTATGGACAATATTTCTTTACACTTGGGTTTTGGGTGATATGACAAATTATGCGTATGTATTGTTTTGTTTTT